GATTAGAATCTTGTCTCATATATATTTAAGTACTTGCACTTCACCTTTCTGTACTTTTGGTTCTTTCCTGGATTTGTAAGATGGACATCGTGTTTTTTAGGTTCTAGTCAATCAACATATGTTAGCTGTCTGATCCAGGACAAGATTGTTTACTCGGATAGCATGTTGACTTTTCTAGTATGAACAGGGGATTTAACTGCTGCTTTCGATAGGCATTTAGCAATATATGGAGGTTTGGATATCTGTATTAACTCTGCGGGTATTGGCAATCGTATACCGTTCCGTAGTGATGAAACAGATGGTACCACCTCATGGAAACACACTATAAACGTGAACCTGATGGCAATTATTGATTGCACTCGTCTTGCGGTATGCTCAAAAATTAACTTGCTTTCAATTCAAATTCTTACGATAAGTTCATTCTGAATTTCTGCCATTGGTAGTATCTTGGGCAGTCTTGAGGGGTTTAGTTATCTGGATGTGTTCTCTATGTGATAAATAGGAATTTAGGAACTGGTTAGACTCCTTGATTCGTGCGTGATTTTAAACTCATGAATATGGGTAATTTATGCTGAAAAAATAGGAAATCTTTCATAAATCGCTGATCCTTAGGGCTTAATTCTTAATTATTAACAATATTTGGTACGTGTAAGAAATAAAAACGTCTTTGAACAGATTAAGGCTATGCGAGCAAAGCAGAAGCCTGGAGTAATTATAAATATGGGTTCTGCATCAGGTCTTTATCCAATGTATAAAGATCCTATCTACTCTGCCTCCAAAGGTTTGCCGTTGTGTTGCTCATCATAGCAATTTTATTTTCTACACTGTAATATTCCATTCTCATAGATTTTCTTTCACAGGTGGTGTTGTTCTATTCACAAGGTCGTTAGCTCCTTTCAGGCGTCATGGAATTCGCATCAATGTTTTGTGTCCTGAGGTAAGTCTTTAATCTGGAACACTCTGCATATTTCCAATGATCAAATTTTTGCCGATTATTTTGAGTTTCTGTTGAGGTCATTTGGTCATGGTTGTCTCTCTGCTAAGTACGTGAACCTTGAAAATTTCCACCCGTTTGAACAGTCAAAAGCATGTGGCATGCGCATAACCATCCCATGAAATTTTCACTGGGTTGCTTCAAGGTGGACCCGCTGGAGTAAACAGGATTGTTTCTAAAGTGAGATAATTGTTTATAATTATTAGATTACTAATAACGGTGAAGGTTAGCCAATCCATAAAGTAAATGATCTCATATATAATGCAAAACAGCTGAATAATGTCTTGAAAGTAGAATGTAAATAACTCAACATTTTTCTTATTGGCACATCAGTTTTTATGTTGAGTGTCATTGACTGGAACGGATAAAAAGTAAATGGTAAGGGGCTATTCCTTATTTGTGGTGTTGCTCTTTTTCTTTTTCTTTCTAAAAATATCTATATTAATTTTCTTCTTCTGTCATTACTGTTTCTTGCTCAGCAATTCCAACTTTTATGAAAGAGAATCTTGAATAACTTAATTATGTCAGCAGAGCTTATAACTTGTGTCCAAATAATTTGTATTTTGAAATCTAAACTTCTTTGGATGGATTTCACCAGCCACCAATTGGTCCAAGCATCTATTTTCATTGTCATTGCTGTCTAAGTGTCGAATTTAATGTAGCACTTGCTCAGTTTCTAAATGCAATTTTTTCCCCTCCTGGTCGCTGTTTCTTTTAGGGGAAGGATAATTCAAATTTATTCACAAGTTTGCCTTCTATTTCTATTTATAACTGACTTAATTGTTTTTTTCTTCAAATAAACTGACTTAAATTGTTTGATTGCTTGCATGTGCTATTTATAAGCAATTCTTATGTTCCATCTTTCAGTTGAAGATGTTTAAATATGAATTTTGGATGCAGTTTGTCGAAACTGAGATGGGCGCAAAAGTAGAGTCCAAATTTGTCGATATGATTGGGGGATTTTTGCCTATGGACTTGGTGGTGAAAGGTATGTCTAACCCACAGCTGGACAACTATTCAAATAAGTTTCAAGTGTGAGCCAGACAACTAAGCAAATAAGTGGCAAGTATGCTGTCTTGCATCTTTACATGTTTAGACCGAAAATGTGCACTTAAACTTGAATTGTTTCTAGTGGTTGATTCCCGTAGAAGAGGGGGAATGGTTTTGCAATTGTTGGGAAATCTCTAGCATGCAAGTTCTTCTGGAAAGTACCAACTTTATCTGATAGAGAATTTAAACTTTTGAAGAGGTTATTTCATAAATTTTTGAACCTGCAATGCTTATTTTGTTTGTGATTATTATGCCATCACATCAATCTCTTAACATGTGCTTTTCAGCTTAATGCTGGCGTGGACAGAGCAGGTTGATTGACCTTCATCTTTTATCTTGTCATATGGGTCTTACAGTTATCTAATCTTATAGGTGCTTTTGAGCTCATTACTGATGAGACAAGAGCTGGTTCATGCCTCTGGATTACCAACCGCAGAGGCATGGAGTATTGGCCTACTCCCATAGAAGAATCAAAATATTTGATAGATCCTTCAAGCTCCAGCAAGAGGATCTCACTGAAAGCTGATCAACATCTTCAACTTCCACAGAATTTTGAGAAAATGTAAGCTTGAATGTATTAAAAATTTGTTTTTCTTTGTTTTGAAAAATAAAAGTGCAACTGCAAGCATATACCTTAGCTTATTATTATCATTATTATTTTTTCTGTTCCTTTTCATACTTTTGTTTGGATAAAAAGGAAGAAATTACGCAAGAAGAGTTGGATAATAACAATGCTGTATAATGACTGTGGTTGGGTATTGGTAATGAACTTTAATTTTGAGTTAACATGTAAGAGTTCGCTCTCCTTATTATCGGTTTATTAGTCTGTTAACTTGGATGTCTGTTCTTTCAATTAGAACATGCATTAGAGTCTTCCATTGCTTTCTTGCGTAAACACAAAGGTTTGTCATGACTCATGATGCTAATATTGTTGATATTTTCCTTGACACATAGTTGTTTCTTGGTGATATCAATTGTAGTAACCTTTCTTCAATTTTGTTTCGTGCATTTGGAGCCAAAGTCTGTCTCTGCCTTCTCATTCTCAAAAGTAATTTCTCAAGTTCAAGAACATATTTGTCATGAAATAAATTTTAAGGTTCAGGAAGGAGTAGACAGAAGACTAGGTGATACTAAATCATAAATGTAACTTATGGTTGGATGGACCGTAACAAAACCAAGAAGATGAAGTGCATGAAAATATCGGTGGCAGCAAGTGCTCCTGTGCCATAAAAAACAGTTATAACTGAATTTTCTGTACTATGTGCTTGTTCTTATGACAGCCGAACAGAGGTGTCAGCTTAGGTTTAAATATTCGTCTCATGTAACTCTCTCAGTTCATACTTCATTATGGTATTGGCTTGAAAAATTTATTAACTGTTGTTTTTCTCTACTAATATCTCAGAGAGGCAATAATACAAATTTCTTTTCCTGTTTATGTCAATCGCATTCTAATGATTATCCTGGTTATCTGTAAATAAGTTCTTTTAGTTAATACTCACTGCTACTTGTTGGTTTCTTCTGTTTAGAGTTGTGCATACCCTGACTCACAACTTCCGTAAAGCTACCAGCATAGTGCAGAGGCCATTGAGATTACCCATTGAACCACATCAAGTTCTTGTAAAAATCATCTTTGCTGGTGTGAATGCTAGTGATGTAAGTTTGTGGTTATCTAATTAAGTATTTTTCAACTTTATCAAATATCATCTCTTTATATGTTGTTCTCTTCCTTGTTAAGTTTAATGTTTCCAAATTCTAGCCTTACCAGTCTTTTACTGTTGGACCAAGTTTATTGTTCAGCTAAATGACATCATATATCCATCTTCCCCAACCCCCACAATCCATCACCAAGGAACAGAAAAAAGAACAATTAAAAGATGGCCTCAGAGACAAGCTCCATGAGGCATTAGTGGGCTGGAAAGCTACCTAAAGCGTTGGCATGTTGTACTTGCCTCTGTTGCGCAATTATTCTTCATTATTGTCTATCTTGATCCGTAGCAGTTGCAGAGTAGCTGCAGTTATCTTTTAAGCATCGACTTGGGGTTACAAACTGTTCTTACTTAGTGGCAAGCTATGCGGTAAATATCATTGGTTTCTGGAGGGTAGAAAATGACTGAGTCAGTGGACTTTTAAGATTCTTAGTAACTTGTATTAAATATTTCCCTCAATTCTTTCATTTCCGCAATCACTGACCTGAGTTAGCCCTTCATTCTTACTGCGGGTAATGGGTAAAGGGGTAGAGGAAACACTTGGAAAGAAAGGAGATCATGATTTCAAATTTTTGTATATCAATTTCTTTTTCTGTAATTATGTATAGTTACATGATATTGGGAATTTTGTTCTTTCTTTCGACTATTGGCTTACATACATCATCTCTGTCCCCTGCCCTGACACTCCAAGCATAGTTTATGCATGCCTCTTTTGTCTGCGTCATTCATGTGCATATGTGCATGTGTTGTCCAACAGAAATTTTTTATGTCCAGGTGAATTTCAGCTCAGGTCGTTATTTTAGTGGCAACAACAAAGACAGTGGTCCCAGTCTTCCATTTGATGCGGGATTTGAGGTGCAGTAAGGCTGTAGTTCAATAACCTCAATTTATTTGGTCTATCCTGTGGTTTAATATTTTGTTATATTGACGCCAAGATTGATGTTCATATCTTTTCTATGTTGCAGGGAGTGGGAATAATTGCCGCATTGGGGGAATCTGTCCCTGATTTGAAAGTTGGCAGTCCGGCTGCAGTAATGACTTTTGGAAGCTATGCTGAGTTTATTGTTGTATGTTAGACCCTGAAAACAAAATTGATTGGCTTTTGCATTATTTGGCTTTACACCGTCAAGTTTTCTAACATTCCCTCATCTGTATATTTGTATCAGTAAATAAAAGATCAATTTGGAATTTTCTACATTATTTTAGGTATCTTCCAAACATATCCTTCCTATTGCAAGACCAGATCCAGAAGTTGTTGCAATGCTTACTTCAGGACTAACGGCATCAATTGGTTTAGAAAAGGTTGCCCTCAAATTTTTAATGAATGAAGCAGTATACTTCTGCATTTTTTTGTTTTAGTTTAGGTTATTTGTCATCCTGTTCCGCAATATAAATTTGTGTGAATTTTATCTTTGTATTATTACCTTTGGTACTGATTGTGTCTTGTAACATCCTTTCTATACTGTACCTTTCTTCTTTTGAGAATGCTTTTCTCTAATGGCACTCACAGGCAGGACAGATGGAATCTGGGAAAATAGTTCTTGTCACTGCGGCAGCAGGAGGGACTGGTCAATTTGCAGTCCAGGTATAATTTACAATTTGGTTGTGGTTCTTTGGCTATCTCTTTACTCCACCATCTGCATGGCAATTATTTTTGAACATTTTGTTCAGGGTACTGACTTATCTTTTATATTGATAGAATATAAGATATATCTGTATTTTTCTTGTTCTTATCCATATACAGAGTTCTTTGTAAGTGTACTTCTCTTGTGTATATATACAGTTTACTTGATGAAAGTTCGGAGTAATTCATCGAAAAGTTTACATATATGAATTGTTGGTTTTCATCTTATAATTTTCCATTTTGTGCTATATTCTTCCTGCTAAGATGTCTTTCAGTAATATAAACGGCCACTTTGTCAACAATTCTATTCTTGAATGACCATTATGTGCAGCTTGCAAAGTTGGCAGGAAATAAAGTAGTTGCAACTTGTGGAGGTAAAGAGAAGGCTGAGCTTTTGAGGGAACTTGGAGTTGATCGAGTCATTGATTATAAAGCTGAAGATGTCAAAACTGTAGGTATCTTGAATTGTTATTTTCCCTTCCTTTTTGTTTGTCTGATACTGAGGCCTAGAATGACAATGAAAGTGGACCTTTACTTTTATCTGTTTGATGTTGATTGACTTTAGTGAGGGAGAATCACTTTCTTCAATTTGTTATTAGTTCGATTTCCTTCATTTTCTTGGCCTTCTGAAAATATTTGCGTTAAATAAGGTGCCTACGTGTCCAACATCTACCCTTGTCGTATGGTTGTCTTCCCTAGTAAAGGCATCTAACAAGCATGCTTAAGCTTAACAGGGTGTAAATAGATTTTAAATGACTAAATATTGATGGAGTACCAGTTTTAGTGTGTTTTATCTATTAAATCAGATCCCTCATGTTTCAGAAACATGTCACACTTCTTCGGTGAGGTTATTTAGATAGAAAGAGTGTGTTTTTGTTTTACTTGTTCAGTCTCTTAAGGTTGTGCATAACCTAAGATTTGATCCAATATATATTCCACGAGTCTATTCTCGCTTGGTGAAAGGAACCAAAAAAGTTTACTGCTCATTGAATAATTCAACTCATTGTAAGCTTCCATGGTTTGGCCTTTTAAGTTTGCTCGACAATGCAAAGTGTGCTCAACATTTCCAATTCTGTCAGGTTCTGAAGACGGAGTTTCCCAAAGGCATGGACATCATCTATGAATCAGTTGGTGGTGACATGTTCGATTTGTGCTTGAACGCATTGGCAGTCTATGGACGACTTATTGTGATTGGCATGATTTCCCAGGTGCTCTCCTAATCTGCTTCTGTCTAATTTTATGCTATTTGCAAATAGAATTCATAAATCAGTGGTTCTGGAGTAAGAATATAATTCAACCACATATCATAAATAATAAGCCTGGTTCTAGAGTTACTGGTAACCAAATAATAGAGCAAAGGATCAGTGGCTGTGCAGATTATAAATTTTGTAGGAGGTGCGACAATGTTTATTTTCAAATCTATTTTATGGATAAGGATTGTTTCGGAAAAGACAACACTGTTTTAAGAGTATAAAATACTGTCTACTGCTTGTGTCCAGCTCAAGAGCATCAACTTCTGTATAACTTACATCTTTGACTGAATTTGAGGCAGAAAAAAAAGTTCTGTGATCTTTAGTTTTTAAAAATACAAATTATGTTCGAAAATTTTCTAAAACACAGAATTACTGGCTAGAATGTTTATCGTAGCATCTTATCAATAAGATAAAGTTTTTACAAGATGATATGATGAGTCAATAATTTATTTCGACTCCCCATCAGGAGATATATACTTTTTCTTAGAAACCAGATTTGATCTATGTCATGACCACCCCATCATTTTGGATCTATCTGCAGTTTTGAAGAATAAAATTGCTACAATATCTTCTATGTTCACTTTATTCTAACCTCATAATATTGAGATTTTTATCATTTTCAATTTCAAATATGGATTGATGACTATATAAAAGAACATATTTGATTAATTTCTATAATATCCTACTTTTTAATCTCAGTATCAAGGAGAGCATGGATGGAAGCCATCAAATTACACTGGACTCTGTGAGAAGATTCTAGCCAAAAGTCAAACAGTGGTAAGTACATACTAAGTGACGAAAATTTTACTCTTATATCTGTAACATTATCCCCTTAGAATTTATGGTCACTTTTTGTCATGTTACTGGGATGTTTATATCAATTTTCTAGTTAGAAACTTACCACAATCTATGTTATCCTTGGACACATCTTTTTTTGGAAGTTTACAATAATTTACCATGAAGCTTTTCTACACATGATTAAATCTTAACTGTTTTGTGGATGGCTTACTGCATTCAGAAGCTGCTACAGTTTGAAGAAAACTGATCTTATAACAATACCATTTTCTGATAATCTGGAACGATTTTCCATATCCAATTACGTCAACAAAGACACATCTTATCTAGTTAGAACCTTTCTTTTTTTTAAAAAAAAAAAAAGAACCTTGTGCTTCTTTCTGGTCTTACTTTTAAATGACAATTGTTTCAGACTGGTTTCTTTCTGGTACAATATAGTCACTTGTGGAAACAACATCTGGACAAACTATTCGATCTCTACTCTGTGGGAAAGCTGAAGGTAATGCAATACTCATTATATGTTAGATATCTTTTACTTGCCTCCTTATTATATGAGTTTGTCTGCGTTTGTTTTAGATGCTTTTTCAGGAAAAACTTGTATTAGAATTAGCATTGCCACCTTGTAACGGATCAGCATTCTATTTGTCTTTCTTTCTCAATAAAATTTGAAACTTTAATGTTCTCTTCTTTTATATTTCCCTCTCCCTGACAGATTCTATTTTTTCTAGCGCATAGAAATTTCTACATTGAATTGCAATTTGGTAGTAAGAAAACCGTTATTTTCTTATGCATATATTTTTCTGTACTTCAAAAAAGTTAGGATTCAGGCTCCCTCACATTATTCATTTCCTCTTTTAATAGATTTCCGTGGATCCCAGAAAGTTTTGGGGCCTCCAAGGTGTTGCTGATGCTGTAGAGTATCTCCATTCTGGCAAAAGTTCTGGCAAGGTAATGCACAACATCCCAAAGAGAAATTACTACGACAAACCATTTACTTCATTTTGTTAGCCTGTGCTAAATTTTTCCGGTGTGGCCTGGCTCCAGTGTGTTTACTCCTACTCTACTTAATTGGCAGGTTGTTGTTTGCATTGACCCAAACTTCGAGCTTCAAAAGGCTAAGTTATAATCTCATGGAGATTTTCTGAATGTGCTTACAAGGAAAATAATAAGATAACAGGATTAAGCATATCTGAAAATGATAATAAGGAATCATGGGAACGATTATATGACTTTCCTCCAGCATAAGGTGAATTTACTCTGAAAAAAAAAAAAAGAAAAACACAGGAAAGAAATAATTTGGTTATGCCAGATTATCTTTAGCCTAAATTGAAATGTTTTTCTTTTCCCCTGAATCTGATGTGAAATAACTTGTTGTGGTAAGTTAGAGGTTACAAAATTGATTGTAAGCAATTTTTTTGAGAAAAAAATATATTTCTTCTGTGTGCATATTAATTTTGTGAATTCGTTTTCTATAACATTCTCCTAACTGTAACAACAGGTGCAGACGCTGTATATGCACACACGCATACAGGTACAAACAAACTCGTTCACATGTGAATATAGTTTGCTTATTGTTCTTGAGAATGCTGTATCATTTTATCCAATTGTTTTATTGGGATTCAATCATTCAACAAGATTTAACATTGGATTAAGCTAATGCAGCTATTTACTGGAATATAAGAGAATTTGACAACAAATGAATGTCGTTGAATCTTCCTATGTTTCCTATCTGTCAAATCACAGACTCCTAGCTTGATCTAGAAATCAATTGAACTCTTCAGTTGGATACACAACTAAAGAGGATTTCCCATGAACAAATAATCCTTTTATAATTACTGGTATATATGTATAGGTTTCCATACACTAACTATGATGGTTAAGTCACTTATTTATAGTCTTAAAGTCTTGGTTAAGATCCCAAAATCCAATTTTGTTGAGTCAACAAAATTATTGGCGCTGCCATGTGATGTAAAAGTTGATGCTTTGGGTTCTATGAGCTTAACCCAATTAGTTTAACTTTCGATTTTTCTTCTCCTGCTTTTCCAGAGTTTAGCTTTTTGTTTGAGATGTTTTGTCTTTGTTGAACAATTATCTCTGTTTAAGTTCTAAGAAATAGTAAGCCAGTGATAAATAAATAACTCATAGAAAAGTTTTATAACTCAGATAACTTTATTTGTATTTTATTTTATTTTTATTTTTTTAAAAAAATTGTATAAATTTTTAATCCGTTATAATTATTTTAACTAAAAAAATTTAATTTTCATAAGATATTTTTTATTTAAAAACATAATAAATTTATTAAAATATGAACTAATTTAGCTATTGCAACCCTTTATATGTTTTTTAATATGATAAATATTTTCCTGTTTATCAATAAATTAATCTTCTCTCAAAATGAAAAAGGGTTGCTCATCTTCTCTCTTTCTCTCCTACCAACCAGATCTATAGGAGAGTTCAATAAAAACTTGCCCATCCAATTTTCATGAAATTGCCTAGAGCACGTACTTTGTTATGTTTATATGAGCAAGTGATTTCACGATTATTAGATAATATATATATATACATATGCACGTATGTAGATAGAGACACTGTGAAGTTCTTCTTTAACCATTCTTCTCAGGCAAAAACAAGCCCCGAACATATATAAGTTTTTTTCTTTTTGAGAATCACATAGATAAGCAAGTTTTTGACTGTGTTAAAACTTAAAAAGTCTAAATAAACAGCTGGGGAATGGCCAAGTGAAAAGCAAAAAGAATTAGTTCTGTGCCACTTCTTGTATACCCCAAAAGCCAGGAGCTTTCATTTTGGGAACATGAAATATCACTTTTAACAACATTAATTCTGTGCCACTTTCTTGTATAGCCCAAAAGTTCCACTTTAAGAACATGAAATATCACTTTCTGTCTGCAGAAGCCAACAAAATCGAAGTGAAAAACTTGAAAACATCATAAGCAACAAGAAATAACTTCACAAGACAAGTCTCAATAGTTTATAGCTAGGCAAGGATAGTCTTATTACTATATGATGAAATATTTAGACTAGAACCTTGGTTGTAGAATTTATTTTGGAATATATACTTATTTTAGCCGAGGGGCGAGGATCATTTACAAAATAAAACTTGCATTGTCACATTGGAGTTCATAAACTTGAAACTTTTTGTCTTAGTTTTACTTTATATTGTCTAGGAAGTTAATTTGATCATTTCAGAATATAATCCATGTTTTCATAATTAGTGTAAGTGAAAATTTCTAAATAGATTCTACAAGTAAATTTATTCCAAAATTTGGTAATGTATTTCCACAGGTTCTGCCATTGTCAGTTAAAATCTTCATTTTAAAACCACAGGGATTTCTCCCAGCTTTCACTAACTTAATAGAACTTCAAAACCAGAACCAGTCTTTTTTGCAGTAACTAAATGTTCCAAGATTCTCTTTATTCGTGCTATATTTTACCAATAAATTTATGACTTCTGCAGATTCCAAAGAAGTAAACATTAGTTACCTGTCTTAATTCTTTTTGACCTTCTATTTGAGTGTGTAGTTTCCGGATCCCTTTCATCATCTTTGTAATCTTCCGAATCTGATTCATTGGCCCTGATGATGTATACCTGAGAAATACAATTAAGGTAGTTAATCACCAAGAACCACGAAGATCAGAGCATCATTTCAACCAGAAGTGTAAGCCTGTGAGTCCAAAAGCTTAACCCCTGTCCTGTAGCATGTTAAAGTGTTTTTCCTTCGTCTATAAACCTTAACAAGCTTGAACAAGATAGAGTGCCTATAATTAATCCGGTACTCAAGTCTTTGACATCCAAACATATTTCATTCTAGTATGTATATCATGAAAAGGAAATAAGGAACGATGCATAACAGAAATGAAATACATGCCATTCACGAATGTCAATGGACTCGCACCAATTTCATTCAAACAGGCAGTACAATGTCATAATATCATTAGCGCTATATTTGAAACATTCAAGATGTTCTAAATCTAACCTTAAATTCTGTGGGTGAGACAAGCTGGAAGACCAGTGCATCTCCATCAACGAGCTGATGATCAATGGCAAATCCCCTCCACCCAGCACTAAGGCCGGTCTTATCAGCAAGATATTTTGTGGGGAACTCCTCTTGTTCCTCATTCACCAAAGTAATCGTTTCATCGTACTTGGGAAGATGTGTCTTGCAGAATTGTACAGGCAAGCCCTATCGAAATATCCCGAGAAAAATCATGATCGTTAGTGGAAAGTTACTTCTTTTGCTGCTTATTTCTCCTGTGAGAACAATCAAATTCCACGATAGCAATGAAAAATGCTAATGATATCTCTTTTCTTACCAGAGAACTAGGAAGTATGTTACGAGATATACTAGTAACTGTCAATTTTTTATCTTCAAACGATTACCTTGCCTAATTACATAAATTACAGACTATTTGAGACCAGCCTGAAGATTCACACACACAGAAAAATAATATTATATCATAAAATAATCAATTTTACAGAAACTGCATTTGTTACCAGCCAGAATCCTCCAGTCACGTGAGACTGTAACATGGGCTTAACAAAGCTTGGGAACTCAGGTTCTAGACCTGACCGAACCTGTTCTGCCCTTTCAATAGCATATAACCTTGCTTTGTCTGAAGCGTAAACACGGTTTAACAAATCCCTCCTTTGGTAGCTCCTACAAGTAAAGCAAACACAAAATTTAAGATAAAGCGATTTTTTTTCTTGGAGCACTTAAAATTCTAAAACATCTAAAGAGTGATCAACCTTCTAACACCCCTCAAAGGCTCAACTGGCTCCTGCAATGAACAAGAAATCAATATATCAATTCAGCATGAACATTATCCAAACCATACTAGTTCTTCGAGGCTTTGGGAGTTTATAGGAAAGTGCTGTAAGTAAAAGCACTGCATACTCTCATTCAAAAAACAAAGAATTACATCTAACTGAAATAGAGTGCTTAATTTTTATTTTTATTTTGGGTAATTCTTCGTATTCAATGGAGGATTTTGGGGACCCTATTGACATCTTAGTAAATATCTAACTATTTTGTATATGGGTTGGACTTCAAAAGTAGTTTCTGAAGCCCCTAACAAGCGAGCTGCTTATTTCACTAAACAAACTGATAAATTAGAACGATTAGCACCAAATAAGCAAATTCCAAACCCTGTCTTATCCTTAACGATTGGCTACTGGTACTAATGATTTCAGAAACTTTCTGAATGATAAAGCATCAAATATTCAGAACATTATCAATGCTTATGACAATAAATCTGGGTCTCCGAGCTAAACTAATTTCTGGAACTCAACTCATCCAGAAACTAAAAAGAAAAACCAGATGTGGAAAATCCTCTTCGATGGTCCAACCTCTGAAACAGAGCTATTAAGATGATTACTTCAGAGCACTACAAATACATTAACAGAGAGACGAAAAGAGAGAGAGAGAGAGCTCACATCCTTGTAATTGGGAGGCGGCTTGTCAGCCACACGGTTCGACCTTCTCAGGGGCGTCAAGTCCGCCGGTAGCCGAGCCGCCCGCGGTTTCACTTGCTTGGCCTGTTCGTAACGCAGTTCAACCTATCAAGATTCATGGCTACCTACACATATAAACACACATAGGCACGCAAATAAACGAAACACTCACAGGAGATGGCTTAGCGGATTTACGAAGGGCTTTAGAGAGCTTATTGAGATTCAGCTCTTCCATCCTTTTCTTATTCTCTTCCAATCTTTTTAGACGGATTTGCTCGTAAGAAAGTTTTGCTTCCACCATTTTTCCCCGGCTTGGTTCAAACAAGTAAGGGTTTCTCCTGTCTATTATTCACTTTTCACTGAGACCCATACGAGGAAGAAAGATTAGAAGAAGAAAGTGAAACGAAGAAATCGAAAATGGAAGATGAAGAGAACATGCACTGTCAGATGTTTCATTACCAATTTCCTTCAATTCCTCCTGCTTCGTTTCGTTATTCGTTAAGTTTTTGAATTTGAATTCTGTCCGCCGGTCTGCTCACTTGTCACGATGGTAGTGGGTGGAGTGACAGTACATTATGCTTATTATATTATTTGATTTTATTGAATTTTATATAATATTTTTACTTTTAATAATTATTATATAAATAGAAATTATTTATATTTGTCTGAATTTATGATGACGTCAAAGAGAATTTAGGAGGTTAATTATTTTGAGAGATATTTTTGTAATAAAAATAAGAAGAAAAAAAATCAACATGGGTTAGTAATAAATTAAAGAAATATTATGATATGGGTCATAATATAAATTATTAAGGTAATATTTAAAACTATAGTTACTATATTAGAATATGATATTAGTAATTATAATAACTATAAAATTTTAGAAAATAAATTATATCTTGCTAAAATTAGAGCGAAGAAAATCAAATAAAATTTTAAGATATTAAACAATCTCAAATTATAACGCAGGACAAAGAAATTGAAGTAATACCCTAAAATAATTCTAAGATTCAAGAGTATTAAGAAATTGAAATGATCTCAATACCTTAAGTTAATTTTGAGATTCAAGAATAAACATAGTCGTGAGATTTTAGTACTATTTCGTGCGTATGTATATTTGTTAAAAAATTCAATAAAAAATGTATTTCATTACTTTAGTATTGAACTATTAGAAATTTCTCGATTATATGAATAATACTTACAATCGCTGTTTTAACGTTAACATATCAATAGTACAAAATATACAAAAAGGGGGAAAAAGGAAACCTTCAAGAAGACAAGAACTTGCTTCCCTTGCATCTAAAACAACAGCGATTCCCCGAGGCCAAAAAATCCCCCACATCTCGTAGTTTCTGATTCAAAACAAAATCTAAGAATCACTTGCAAAATATATTATCTCTTCACCAGGGTGCATTTGCAACTTCCTGGAACTTAAGCTCGAGCTCGTGATCATTTCTTGCAAGGGACTTAATCTCAGTATCTAGCCTATGCATTGTCATGTTTAGTTCCACTATTTTTGCTTCTATAACTCTCTTCTCCTCCGCAGCCTGATTCCATTCAAGCCTAGCAGCTTTATACCTGTTCGACTTCAATGCAAGGCGCAAAAGTTCATATAGCCGCACGTGCAAGAAGCCAACATTCATGCCTAAGTCTCCAAAGGCTTTCAAAGTTTTTTCCCAAATAAAAAAATCTTCTTGGGAGGTAGTGAGCTTGGAAGCTCTTATTGCATCTGCAATGTTGATTGTCTCGGTGATAATTCCAGTAATTAATCCGCAGTTAAGACCCTCGAGAAGATGGTCATGAAGGAATGACTTTTGGCTGCAACAAAGCTCGTAGTATTTCACTAGAAGATGTTTGGAGAACATGGAGTTTATAATCAAACCATTTACACAGATGGAGAAATCTTTGAAGCTTTTCACTTGTTTAAACTCAATAAAAGAGTCAGATAATCTGATTCCATCCTGAACTTCAGGTTCAAGATTCTTGCTCCGAGGATGTTGTGGCTCAGGTATTGGTTTAGTATCACAGAACATTAGGCTATTGTTTCGAACATTTTCTTCGGACACATCCTCTAGCTTCAAAGGCTTAACCTCCCTTACACATATTCCAATATCCTTCACTATGTAATTCGATCATGGATGATATCAGAGGAAAATTACGAAAGATTTTTCAGCAAATTAGGCATGTTGCAGGAGGAAAACAGCAAATGTACGAGAAATAGCTTACCAAAATCGGTTTCTCTACTACAAGCATCTAGTTTAAGAAGTCCAAGGGCACCATCAACTTCATCTGTACCATTTGATCTCACAATATATACCTAAACAAAGTGCAGATAAAAAAAACAATAAGCTAATCCAAATGAAAAATAAAGGTAAGCTACTTTTACTGCTTTTTATGTGAATAAATCTGAAACTTATCCTAAAAGCACTACATCTTAAAGCATGAAAAGTAATAAGTGAATTTCGAAAACTTTCTATCGAAGTTTCAGATGAATACCTTAAATTTGCAGGATTCGACCAAATGAAAAACTAAGACATCTCCTTCCACTAGTCTGTGTGCCATGGAGAACCCTCTCCATCCACCACTCAGGCCAACTTTGTCAACAAGAAACTTCGTTTCGAACTTTTCCCCACTTTCATCTTCTAGAATGATAATCTTATCCTGCTTTGGCAAATGATTGCTGCAAAATTGCTTAGAAAGACCCTATAATCCAAAATGTTGACACATAAAAATAAGATTAGGGGGAAAAAAATCAATATGTCCTGCTCAAAACTGAATAAAATGGTTAGCTTACCAGCCAAAATCCTCCAGTAACATGTGATGGAAGCATACACTTAATCATTGAAGGGAATTCACATGATAAATTAGCTTGAACTTCCTTTGCTCGCTCCATTACGTTGTATTTAATTTCATAGCTATCGTACAAGTCATCTTCTGTGGCTCTCTTTCGCTTTGGACTGGATGAATCAATGGAGATTTTAAGATATAATGAACTTCAATTTCTAATATGTTCAAGATGAGAAGATGCCATAAAAGTAAATTCACTTACCCTGCGGCCTTCTCCGGATTATATTTTACCTGCCGGAGAATTCATAGAAAATTTTGTAAGACTTTGTAAACTACTATCTAATGGAGAATTTGTAGTTTACTAAGAATAGATTAAATTGTAGTTTTAATATAACTAAAATAGGCTTATTATATGACCTAACTTTATATGACCTCATAATATTAAGATACATACTGATAACTTGGTGTAAACTCATATATATATATATATATATATATATCTCAATAGAAAACCCACAACGAGAGTTCTCTATATGAGAAATAACTTAAGATTAAGCTCAACCCTTTACTCCTATGCATATAATTTATCCTATTTACAATCTTCGTTCAGAAAAAGAGAGAAGAAGGGAAAGACCAAACTTACACAACTGCAAACTTTAACACATGTTCTTAGAATATAATACAATGTCTAAATCATATACAGAAGTTTTGTGTATGCTATGTGATTGTTTTATATTATAGATTTATATTCTAAATCCTAAAATTTGCAAATTTCCCATCAATTATTATCATCATTCTCTAACATTCAAGAGTCTGAATCAGTAAATAGTGCACAAGATTGAAAAGAAAAAGAAAATTATTTGAATCTGTCAAGACAGCTTAGAATGCAAATTTGAAAACTTCTATCAGAAGGGCAATAAGTATTATAAGAAACAAAGCCAACACTACATTTGAATAATGACCCCAAAACAGTGCTAAGGGCATGTTTGGATCTGTATCCTTGTTTCTGAAAAACTGTTTTCTTTTAGCATTTCTAAGCAAATCAGCATACACCTAACCATTATTTCATATGTGCATTCACTGTAAAAAGTAGGATTATGAACATTAAAATAAAGGCTATTCTAAAAAAAAGTCTTTTTTTGAAAACCCACTAAAAGAGCACATTTCATTTCCTTCAAAATATTTCCATTAAGCAATGGAAAAGAGAAAAAAAAAACCCTTAATTTTTTGAAAACCAAGAAAACAACTTTCAAATTCCGAATATGGCTTCTTTCCTCAAAAGTGTTCTTGGTGAAAGCAACTTTCTTTTCCCAAGTTCCAAACACCCTCCTATTTTTTGGCTTTCTCATTTTCTCTTCTCTCTAAATGCTGAAAAACCAAACAATGGGTTCTCCATAACTGCATACTCAAAACTTAAAAAGAGTTAAAAAGATTAAAAAAAAAAAAAAAAAAAGAAGCCAGAATACATTAAACTGAAAAAGAAGAAGAAAACACAGCAGACAGAAAGCTAAAGATTCTTACTTTCTTGTTCATCATTTGGTTGAAACCAGATGATTCCTCCTCCCTTTTCCGCGGCCTTCCTCCCTTCTGCAATCACAATCTACGAGCGTGATTTATGTGCGTGAACATGGAAAAGTAATATATATATATATATATGTTGATGAGAGAGAGAGAAACAGAGAATGAGAGTGTTAGGAAGAGAACGAACATCTTTTCTCTCTAGCTGTTTCTGAGCAATAGCCATGGCAGACGGCTGAAGGAAGAAGAGCTTTGAGTAGTCTACTTTCTCTTCTTATAGAAATGATTCAGTTTTAAATTGTTAATTTTTACTACTCGTTCAATTGCAGAGATTTGAAAAGGTGACTGCTTTTTTTTTTTTATAAAAACAAAAAAAAAGTGAATACTTTTATATGAATTTTCTTTTCAATTTTTATTAAATTAGTTTTTGTTATAATTTAATTTTTAATATTTTTTTATTATAATTTATTTATTTATTTTAAAAAATAAAAATTTTGTCATTTTTCAGTAAAAAAAAATTAAATAATATTCGAATATTTTAAAAAATAATTTAAAAATATCACTTTAACCAATTAATAATAATAGTTGACTTGTTTTTTTATTTTAATTAATTTAATTAATTAGTTAAATTTTTTAAAGTTAATTTTTAATAACATCTCAATATAATTTGATTATTTTTTATTATAAAATAAAAGAAAATTATATGTTTAAGATACATAAAAAATATTAAAAATTTATTAAAATCAAATAATAACAAATATTAAATAAAACTGATTAATTTAATAATCTATCTTAAATATGAAACAAAATCTCATCTATTTTTGTTTCATTTTCAAAATTTATGCAAGACGTATTTATTTAATATAATATTATATAATATGTAAATTACTTCGAATATAAATAAATAAAAAAACTTTTATAAATGCATAAATATGATATATGGATAAATAAATAATAACTATTTTAAAAAATAAATCGCAATCGTGTATAAAATTAAAGTTAAAGTATTTGTTAAATTTGAATATTAATTTTAATTACAGAAAATATAAATTTACCAGACATTTTATTTATGGGGGAAATGAAAAGACTAATTTTTGTAATAATAATTATTTTTGTAATTGTGAGAGGTAGTCTTAGGGTTTGTCAAGTTGGAGCCAATTTTCAATTTTCAAATTCTTTTAGATTTTCAATTAAATAATTTTTAAGGTGATGAGTTTAAAATTCGTTAAAAATATAAAACTCGTTATATTTAATTTAATAAAATTAATAACTTAATTTAATATTATATTGATAGAATTTATTCTAATTAAGTTGAATTAAATTGATATTTAAAATAACTGTAACTTGTACCGTAAATTTTAAAAATATTATTAAAGTATTTATTAATTAAAAAATATTTTATAAAAAAATTATATAGTATTTAACATAAATAGTTAAAAATAATTATATGACATCTGATATAAATAATTAAAAAAAATAATATTATTTTAAAAAATAAAAATTTTAGGTATAGTAAAATTGACTCTTACAATTATAAATATAAATTTTTAATAAAAGTCAAAATTATTTTTTAAAAATTATAATCGTAACTTATAATTTTTAAATATATCAAAATTATATTTCGATTTTTGCAGTTGCAAAAAGTATTTTGTATTTTATCCGTTTGATTAAAAAATATTTTTGAAACGCGAAAGTTAAAGTTAAAAGTTGAGTCGAACATTTTTATATTTTAATAATTAACTACATTTTTAGGTAAAAAAAATATTTTATGATAATTAAATTTTTTTATTTATGATAACAATTGATCAAATAAGTACAAGCTCATCTTTTTTATATACAAAAACAATCATTTTTATTATATATACATATATATATATATATATATGTGTGTGTATGAAGCATGACTAAGATTGAAGTTAAAAATGAATTTAAACCTGAAATCTAGTTAGTTAGGGTTAGGGATAGTCCTAAGGAGCTTGGAGGGCTCTTTGAATATTTTAATGGTTAAATTATAATATATAAACCCTATTATTTTGTAATATGAGATCTAAGGAGTTAAATTTACTGTAATATTCTATTTACCCTGCTAAACAGAGCAAAAGACAAGAGGAAAAGAGACCAATATTACAAGAATTCAACACTATTTCCTCTGTTACTCTTAAATGGTATATACTGAAAATCCATATTAACTCACCTGCTATGTTCTTTTCTTTCTTGGGTTTGAAGTAAATCAGTACATATTGAACAACCATGGCTACTCCCGTGGAGGTTCAGGTTAATAACCATTGGATTAACTGCCTCCCTGGTCAACATTGCTGAGTCCATCAGGGCCGGTAAACTTTGGACCTTGGAAACAGACTATCATCAACCTGGTCAACCTGATCACCACGGTGCATTGACCTCCTCCTCGAATCTAAGCATAAGCCTCTTGGAACTCGCTGAAAGGACCTCTATCTCATCATTTAACTTTCTCAATGTTTCTTGCAATTTCAGAAGCCTCAATTGAGTTGATCTCATTTCCTCTTTTACACGACCTTGCTGAAGACTAATCTCTCTATAACTCTGTGAATCAGGGTCTCTTCGGATTCAAAAGCAATTTTCATCAATCTCTTCACACGAGCACGTAAAAATCCAACATTCATCCCCAACAACTCAAACCTTTCAACGTTTTATCCCAGAGATCATAGTCTGATTCCGAAGTCCAAAGTTTGCTGGCCGTGATGGCCTCGGCAATATTGACAGTCTGAGTGATTATTTCTGCAGCCAGTTTATGGTTGATGCTCTTGAGAAGATCCTCGTGCAGAAGTGAGTTTTGACTGCAGCAGAGCTCGTAGTACTTGGTCTTATGGTGACTCGAGATATCAGAATCAATACTTGTACCATTCAGGAGAATGGTAAAAGAATCTATACTTCCAATGTTCTTGGTACCATCAATAGGTCCCGAAGAGCTCGTGGCTACTGGATTTTTGGAGCCAAGATTCTTGTGGTTGTTCTCAGATTTATTGGTTGCAGTAGCATGATCGGCTAATTCTTTCAGACTGTTGTTCTGAACATTGTCTGGTGGAGGAAGCAAAGGAAGAATCTTCACATGCTTAGGCCTTTTAGTGCTCTTAGAATTCGTCTCTGTATGAACTTTCATTGATTTTCGAAGTTCAGATTCCGATGTAAAATAATTAGCTCAAACCAAATCTGGTTGAACTATTTGAAAAATATTAGAAACAAACAACAAATATTAACAGAAAGAGGGAAAAAATTACCGGAATCAATCAGTCTTGTATCGAGATCTATCAAGGGCAATTCTCCATCAACTTTCTTTGCATTCTTTGCTCTTACGACATACACCTACGAGGAAAATACAATAACAAAAAGGATCAAATAACCATAGAAAACATCTAGAATTGCAGTAGAGAACTTGGAAAATATATGCATCAATTGGCAAGTAAAAGTGAAGTAAATCCATATCTGAAGAAAAAGTTTTCCTCAAAAACTCTGAGTATTGACTGATAGATCCTTTGTCGTTATCAGGTGGGTCTATCCCAATAAGATTTTTACTTTGCAACTCGAAACATCAAGCAACTACTATTCCTCAAAGAAGAAAAAAAGGAAGAAAGTTGTTTGCAATAGCAGCAATGCAGTTCTTTCATCTGCAATCCTATATATCTGAACTAAAAACTTGATAAGCTAGTCATGTTTGGAGTAATGAAGAATTAGAAAGCAACAATTAGTCTAAAACCCGGCAATTATGACATAATGGATCGTGATTTGCTGATAGAGAACAAACAGAATCTGTTCCAAAAAAGCAAAGTTGGATTCTCAAATCAGTTTTCTGAATGCTGCTAAAGTAATATTGGCTAGGAACGATTATCTATGAGATTGCTATAGCTTTGTTACTGCCTGAATATTTTTCCTTAAGACAGATTAATTTGGACTCACAATCAAGATCACCACAGCATGTTGCTGTCACGACAATGCATTTTCAAAACAATTAGAAGATTCTCTGGAGGAAATACATTGTCCTGACAGCAACATACTGTGGTGATCTCGATTGTGGGTTCAAATTAATCATTCTTAAGAAAAAATTTTCGGATATTAATTTTATAAGTATCATTGACTTCGTAATGATGTTACAAAATCCCACCAATCTAATAACCTTTTCAAAACATGAGACATCAAGTCGTACAAGGCAAGATATTCGTTGATTAAAAAAAAATGGCATGAGCGAACCAGATTAAATAATGCTCAAGGATTTAAGAGAAACAAATATATTTACAAGAAGGGAAATAAGTGGCACCTTGAACTTTGTAGAACTGATTAACTGGAAAACTAGAACATCACCCTCAAGTAATTCATGTGCATCAGAAAACTTTTTCCATCCAGCGCTCAATGCAGTCCTCTCTGCGATAAAACTTATTTTATACTCTTTGCCGTTCTCGTTTTCTAAGGTAACTGTTACGTCATGCCTTGGCAAATGCAGTTTACAGAATTGAATTGGTAGATGCTGAAATCAAAGATGTTAAAGAATAAATTATGCTGGTTAAAGGGGAGCCATTATTTGCCTTCTTGAAATATAGATAGAAATAGAAATTGCAAGCTCACCATCCAAAATACAGAATTTACATTTGACCTAACCAAAGTCTTTATGAAACTAGGGAATCTCGAAGAAAGACTCGCTTGGACCTTTTCTGCTTGTTCAACTGTAGGAGACTTTGCTTGAACAAGACCGTAAGCTTCATCAACTACGGCTCTCTTATGCTTACAGCTGCAACAATTTGAAAACAAAGTCAATCTAACACAAAAATTTAGCAATGTATTTGTTTAAACAGAGTAAAAGAAATGAATGAGTTAAGATCATTAACCTCCTTGTCTCTGTGGGTTCATCACATACTACCTGCTCAAAGAAGTCAAAAGATTTTTACCATCAATTAGTAGACTTAAATAATGTAAATTGCTTATGGAATGAATGAAAGTATATACATTTGAAGTAATTTTTGATGCCTGACCAACCAGTTCAAGTATCAAATCACTCTGAGGATTTTGGCAGTAATGTGTCAATACCCAGGTGTCATAGATCATGCATTAGAAGATGGAAGAATCCAAAAGAGAATTTGGATTCACTCCTGCCCTCCCAAGGTGACCCCTAAAGCAAATTATAGAGGCCTGACCATTCAAGTAACAAATCACTCCCAGGTTCTGGCATCAGGGTGAAGATAACTTGACGTTCTAGATAACCCATATGAACATGGAGGCATCCTAAAGAGAATTTCGATTCATTCTTGCCCTCGTCCATAACTGAGTGACCACCAATGCAGATTACGAACTATAAATTGGATTTAGAAGGCTAATTTGGTGAACTGTGAGTTCTGGGTTTTCTCCTGAACAAAATATTTAGCTGTGTAATGGATTTTCATTTCCTATTGACATAACCTATCCGTTACTACAGTCATAGTGGAGAGGACTACCCAAGGAGTGCACTAGGACAGAGACCTAGGGTTTAAGGGAAGGAGATCAAGGGTTTTAAGATTTTTGATACCCTAAAAGAAGAGTATCCATCCAAAGAAATTTCCAGAAAATCTGTCTGCTCGTCTGGAAACTAAACTCAGTCCAAAAGCAACCAGTAAAACAGAGGAAGAAGAACGAGAGTTACAGGCATGAAAAAGACGGAAGAAAACCCTAAAATCACATTCCTCTCCCACCCATTTTTCAGTAAACCCAGAGAACAGTTTTGTTCAACTTATCGTCTGAAGTAAAGCAAAGGTTAAAACAAGAAGAATATTCTCACTTGTTTAGCATCATTTCCAGGCTTGATTGGCTTGTCAGGAATCTGGGTCTGATTCATCTTGGCTTCCAATGGCTTCCCCTGCCGAATCTATGGCAAAAAGCAAACAGACGATACTCAGCGACCAAACCCAATACACATGCAGGTGAAAATAGAGAGAAATACAGAGAGATATGTGTATATACGACATCAAGATTGACTTTCTTCGAGGAAGAAGATGATGCAAGCCGAAGTCTTAGGGCGTATTTGTCATTCATGTCGCGGACCTGTCTGGATTTTTGTTTCTTCATCACCTCCCTGAAAGTTTCAGCTTTACTCTTCTGTTTCTTCCTGTTCCTTCCCCCTTTCCCTCTTCATAGCCCTGGATTCATGACAACAGCAAGTCCAAATGTCATTTTATATAAACAAATACGTGTTGATAAACAAACAACTGGATACCCAGTCAAGGGATTTTTCCATTAATGGTGAATTTTTATTTGGCTACAAATTAAATTGGAAGAAACAAATTTGACACAATGTTTGTTGTATAGTGCTTTAATGATTAAATTAACAGGATTCAGACTAAATCTTGAAATATAAGGGACCATGATTTAAAACAGAGATAAAAACCCTTTTACAAATCATTTCTACTCACATCAATGATGCTTGTTAATCAGATAAAACCCAGAAAATTAATCTTGAATCTGATTCAAGGTAAGCTCGTAAGTGAAAGTACACCAAGGTTTATGCTTCCCCTTTTAACATTTTTCCTTACTGTTGATCATATAAATGACCCCAAGTCTCTGATAAAATTGAAATACTGAAACATTCCCCATTAAAGCTTGAACTTCTGTTTGAATTTCCAACTGCGTCTGCTCAGGGGTTACAACACTCTGGTAAATTCTTTCGGCTGAAATACGTTAAATTCATACGGACCCGCTTCGAATTCAGGCCGAAATAACAAAATTCAAGAAGTTTTTAGACAAGAACAACAAAAAATTTCTCTAAATTTTCGCCATTAAAACTTAGAAAAATCTGAAAAGCCGTAAGAAATTAACACTTACTGGGTAGATTAAGATATCTTTTGAAGTCTTTATTTCTGAACTTACATGTATTTTATGCACATTTTGATTCATAAAACAAAAAAGAAATAAGAGTTACGTATTGATTTAATAATTAAATAATTATTTAAGTTACGAAAAAAAAAATTAGAAATAACATTTAAAATTTTCTAATTTCATTTCATTTTATTTTGCTCATTTCATTAGTAGCTGTTCTATACTATTTAGTTAATAAAATACAAATAAATTTAAGAAAATGAAGAATAAAAAACCCATTAATGGGTATCAACTGAAGCCGAAATCTTGTGCTACTGTACTGCACCCGTATCGGAATTGCTTGCAAGTCCTATGCTACCTAAAAATATTGAGATTCATTCAAAAAAACATTTCAGAAGTCAAATTTCAGAACAAGATTGTATTGAAGATCGGATTTTGTGTGAGCAGAAAAACTCATATCAGTTTGTATTGATTACATAAATATATATATATATTATATATTTGCTGAGGTTTCAAAATTTTCAGCTGTTAGTGATGACAATTTTTTTATGTCCTCCGCGGTACCCTTTTACTTAACCCTTCAGAGTCATTTCCTTGTTCAGAGGAGTCTGAAAATCATACATGTTCGAAATGTTACAATACTCTGTCAATACTTCGTCTTAAACCTAAAACGTCGAAGAACGAGAGTATTATCCTATATCTGTTTCTTTTTTTTTTCCTTCCCTTGAGATGTTCGAGTTCAATCTCTGTAGATCAAAGATGAATATCATCCTATATTTCTTTAGAGTTCAATTTCACACATAAAAATTATTCCAGCAAGTATAATTAACAATCAAAGTCAACAAACCTATGGTAGAGAGAATAGAAACACGTGTACTAAGTTACCGTGATAAGTCGTTAAGCCTTATAAGTATTCTAAATCTTTAATTGAAGTATTTTTAGTTTTCTCAAAACAATTAGAAGATTCTCTAAAAAAATGCGTGGTCCTAACGGCAACATGCTATGGTGATCTCAATTGTGGGTTTAAATTAGTCTGTGAACAAATATTTGGGAATTACGTTTATATATATTATTGATTTTATTACGAAATCCTACCAATCCAACAACCTTTTCAAAACATCACCCCCAAGTAATTCATGTGCATCAGAAAACTTCCTCCATCAGCACTCAACGCAGTTCTCCCGGAGATTTAAGTTATTTTATACTCTGCCTTTCTCGTGTTCTATGGTAACTGTCATATCATGCCTTGGTAAATCCAGTTTATAGAATTGAATTGGGAGATGCTGAAATCAAAGATGTTAAGAGAAGAAATTAAGCTGGTTAAAAAGGGAGGCATTATTTGCCTTCTTCAAATATAAATAGAAATAGAAATTGCAGGCTCACCATCCAAAATACAGAATTTACATTTGATCTAACCAAGGTCTTTGTGAAACTAGAGAATCTCGAAGAAAGACTCGCTTGGACCTTTTCTGTTTGTTCAACTGCAGGAGCCTTTGCTTGAACGAGACCATAAGCTTCATCAGCTATGGCTCTCTTATGCTTACAGCTGCAACAATTTGAAAACAAAGTCAATCTAACACAAAAATTTAGCAATGTATTTGTTTAAACCGAGTAAAAGAAATGAATAAGTTAAGATCATTAACCTCCTTGTTTCTGTGGATTCATCACATACTACCTGCTCAAAGAAGTCAGAAGATTTTTCCCATCAATTAATAGATTTAGGTCACTTGTATAAAGTAAATTGCTTATGGAATGAACAGAAGTGTATACAAGAGAAGCACGAAAGCAGCTGAGTAATTTTTTAGGCCTGACCAACCAGTTCAAGTCAAATCACTCCAAGGATTTTGGCAGTAATGTGTCAATATCCAGATGTTATACATCATGCACTGAAAATGGAGGAATCCAAAAGAGAATTTGGATCCACTCCTGCCCTCCCGAGGTGACCCGTAAAGAAAATTATAGAGGACTGAGCAACCAGTTCAAGCAGCAAATCATTCCCAGGTTTTGGCATCAGGGTGAAAGTAACTAGATAAACCATTTGAACATGGAGCCATCCTGAAGAGAATTTGGATTCATTCTTGCCCTCGTTCGAATCTTAGTGACCAGTAATGCAATTTACAATCTATAAAATTACATTATTGGATTTAGAAAGATAATTTGGTGAACTACTAATCCTGGATTTTTCTCCTGAACAAAGTATTTTGCCGTGTAAAGGATTTTCATTTTCTATTGACATAACCTAGCTGTTACTACAGTGTTGGTAGAGAGGATACCCAGGGAGAGCACTAGGACAGAGACCTAGGGTTTAAGGGAAAGAGATCAAGGGTTTTAAGATTTTTGGTACCCTAGAAACAAGGGCATGTATCCATAGAAATTTTCGGGAAATCTGTGTCTGCTCATCTAAAAACAAACTCACTCCAAAAGCAACGAGTAAAACAGAGGAAGAACAATGAAAATTACAGGGACGAAAAAGATGGAAGAAAACCCTAAAATCACATGTCTCCCACACCCTATTGCTAAAGAACAGTTTGTTCAACACATCGTCCGAACGAAAACAAAGGGTAAAACAACAAGAATATTCTCACTTGTTTAGCATCATTTTCCAGCTTGGTTGGCTTATCAGGAATCTGGGTCTGCTTCATCTTGGTTTCCAATGGCTTCCCCTGCTGAATCCATCGCAAAAGGCAAACATACAATACTCAGCGACCAAAACCAATATACAAAATCAGGCATGCAGGTGAAAACAGACAGAGATACAGAGAGATATTTATGCATACAACATCAAGGTTGACATTCTTTGAGGAAGAAGAAGATGTAAAGCATAAGAGAGCCTCAGTCATGAAGCTTAAGGTCCTGCTCGAGCAAATTCTCCTACAGTTGAACAAGCAGAGAAGGTCCAAGCTAGTCTTTCTCCAAGATTCCCTAATTTCATAAAGACATTGATTAGGTCAAATATAAATCTGTAGCCTTCAATTTTTATTGCTGTAATATTTCAAGAAGACAAATAATGGCTCTCTGTAAACTGCATTTGCCAAGACATGACATAAAAGTTACCTTAGTTTTTAGAAAGGCAAAGAGTATAACATAAATTATATCACAGAGGGGACTGCATTGTGTGCTGGATGGAAGAAGTTTTCTGATGCACATGAATTACTTGAGGGGGATATTCCTCTCCTTCATATTTGTAAATATACAGTCTGGTCACGTTGTTTTTCCGCCTGATCAATGAGTATCCTGCTTTGCATGACTTGGAAAGGCTGTTAGGTTGGTGGGATTTCATAAAATAATTGTTTTCCCGCTCATCAATGAATATCTTGCCTTGCAGGACTTGGTGCCTCAGTTCGTATGGAAAGGTTGTTGATTTGGTGAAATTGCATAAAATAATTATGAAACCGATGATATATAAAATTGATGCTCAAATATAATTAATTTGAACCCAGGAATTGACTGGTTCCGAGCGGACTCGTGGAGCTGCTGCTTGGATTATCGTATCATAAGAGGAGCCGTCTTAGGAATGACTTTAACTTAAAAGACAGATGACGCGCCACAATCAAGATCGCCATAGCATGTTGCTGCCAAGACCAGGCATTTCCTTCAGAGAATTTTCTAGTTATTTGGGAAAAACTAGAAATAGTTCAATTCAGATTTAAGATACTTATTCAGAAGTTTTTACAACTTAACATGTGCAAATTTTTTCTATAACTATGAAGAACATGTAACTCGAATAACATAATCATCTTATCGGAAAGACAGAAGCTCGAGCTCAGTTTCTTTATCAAACACTGAAAGCGTGTACAAAAGGATTTTCAAAATTAAAAAATGAAAATTGCACAGGCATTATTATTTACATATTTTGTTCCCCAGCTCTTAACCAATCGGCAAATTGTTTCTGATAGAAGCCTCGTCTCTCGTGCTAAATACTAATGTAACAAGACTATCCACTTCTGAATTCGCTCATCAGGCATTCCAAAGTTAGTCTTAGGTTATACACATTATATACACTGAAAACCCTTTGTTAGCCCAACCGATACGAGCTACCTAGTTTCCCTCCAAAATGTTGGAAATACCTGAGGTACCCTACCGGTTTTTCCAGCAACGAGTCCTCCATCCTTTCCATCTTGTAGGAGTAAGTTCGTTTACAATATCTGACAAAATTATGAACAGCCACTGCAAAGCTGATTGGAGAGTTTCCCATAGTCCAGGTCAATAATATTATAATCTTGAACGCTTAAGTTTTATGGCACGGAAAGGTGAAGGCCTACGAGCAGAAGTAAATCGTTGCCCATTCAGAGAACCAGGAAACCTAATATCCCAACCTTCAACATTCTTGGGAACACAGGCATCAAATAGGATTTTGCCGAGAACACTGTGTGCATTGATGCTACAGGGGGGTTGAGGCAGATAGATTGATCTTTCTTTGTGTTCATCTTGTAAAGATGTAGATTCCTTGTCGGTACGATGCTCTACTGAACTTGGCAAGAAAAAGTGATCACCAGGCCCGAGAGCAACTCTTCTTAGGCTTTGATTCGAGTTGACTGCTGCTTTCTGGAGGTCGCAGATTAATTCAGAGATCTCGTCATGCATAGCAGCTCTTTCTCCAAGTAATCGGATATTGTGGGAGAAAGCGGAAGCTGCCTTTACAAGCAAATTGGTTACAGCAGTCCTATATTCGATTGAATAATATTTGTAATGTCCTGAAACAACAGGCAACGACATTTATCAGGTTTTTATTACGTGAGAAAAATGAGACCACCAGAATGCCTAGATACCAAGGGAAACATTGTGCCATAAGCAATATTAACTAAGAAATCTGCTTGAAACAGATCATTTTCTTTATTTCTTTCAGCAATTGGCATTGGCAAGGCGTTTTACTCTTTTCCCCTGGAAGAAACATGCATGCATAAACTAGCAAAAGCAGAAACACTAAAACATATTTGATGACAAGATTGGTCAAGCATCAATTCCAGGCAAGATTATGGTACATGTATGGCCAATCAAAAGTTGTCATACCTACCAAAATCTTCACTTTGTAGCATATGCACAACATTTGAATTACCTAAACCTATGTATTTTGTCTTGCATATTGACGGATGCAGGAGAATATTCCCAAATATTTTTTCTTGTCATAAAAAATCAGCAAAAACTATGTTCTCTTCTTTCTGAGACCAATTAATGCATCAGATTATATCTCCTCCATTAGATATCACATCAGTGCCCTTGATATGGAGGAATGATGTAGAAGGAAACAATTTGCTAGATTATTGTGCCCAAGAGCCAATTTATAAGAAAATATTTATAATAATTGCTAAGAGTTGTTTACCAAAGAAATGAAGCAGCACACCAAAATTCTGAGAAGATACTATCCTGATAAATTTAATGCAATTGGTTCCTGATAAATTTGTCCCACACTTTTTAAAAGCAACCAAATAACTTCTGAAAGCCATAGGTGCCGGATAAACAATATATGACGAGGTACATGAAAAAAAATATATTATAATGCCTGGAAATAGAGCAACAAAGTTTTGAGGCAAACCTAAGTGAGGAGACCCGTTCCACTTCACAACTTTCACATCTGCGCCAATATCCTGTAAACATCGAGCGAACCTGCATATAACTTGATAAGGGGCAAGGTCATCATTCTCCGAGCATAGAATAAGAAATGGAGCCCCAAAGTCCTACAGAAAAGAGGAGAAAGCTAGTTTAACTGATGAACAACAATTAAAAACAACCTCAAGGGGCTACAAGAAAACTAACACTTACAACGGATGAATAAAGTGTCTGCCAATACTCTTCGCGCTGAGATTCAAACCTCGTAAGACATAGACCATCCAGACCAGAAGCAATGCCTTTAGCTACCCAAGAAACTAGTTTTGATGGCCCAGGCATTTTCCGAATCCTGGGATGTAGTACAAATTTGGCATTCAAATCCCTTGTAAAATCTAGTGGGCCAGAATCATAGATATGCCCAGAAACACAATTTCTGATCAATCGAATTCCATCCTTCATGAAAATGTAGAGGAAATAAATGAGAAAATCAGCATTAAGCTTTTAGTTTGGATAGATACTAAGCAGAAGTTTCAACATGGTACAACATAAATAAAGTTGTAAGAGAAAAGACCCGTACTAGATTCAGCGGGACTTCACACGTACCCTGAATAATCTGTAACATGCAGAATTACATTATTTCTAAACTCACAATTGAAAGAAAGATAATAAGACTTCCAACATCCTATATATAGAGCCTGACCTTTAAAATTTACCTGAAAAACCTTGTACATGCAGGCTTTTGGACCACCAGAGAAAGCTACAAAAACTAAAGGACATGGCCTGATTTTTAGCTCCTGCATGCCGAATAACAAAACAATCAGCGCAACATATCTGACGGACTTGATAGATTCCATATAAATGAGTTATCTGCCTCATACTGCTCGAAATATATTGAAGAAACTTTTTAGGGAACCTTAAACCACAGTGAAGTTAGAACTGGTGTGCTTTTAACCTCAAAATTCATTAATGCAGGAACACATGAGAACACGGCCCCACATGTGAACTCTTCTTTCATTTATTTTTACTTTTTTATAGAATCCTTTCAGTTTATTCGATTATTAATGAAATCCCATAGGCACTTAAGAATATAATAAATTTATGTTACTAACCTCAACAAGAACATTGAGAAGAACAAATGCCAGCGATGTAGCCTGCTCAGGATAAAATCTGCCAATTTCATGTAGAGTGACTTCAAAATCCAAAAGGTAATTAAATTTTCTTAAAAAAATTACACAATTGAGCCAGAGATTCTCAAATTGAATAAACATTACATCATCAAATTTTCAGTACAGTCAAGCATCTTATGTATCTAAAACTTGAGCAAAAAATTTTGAGGAATTGGGTATCTCTCTGCCAGAAAAAGAATATCAACGCCAGGGAAGGAGCACCTGGCTGCATTTCCGGAGATACCTTTATAAGATGAGCTGATGTCAGGAGAAAAAGATGTGAAAATTAGGACCCTCAGCAATGAAGATATTTTGTGGTGAACATATTTCTAAACAGTTCATGATAAGCCATAGGTCTCTCATGCTGGATTCTCTCTCCCAGAAAGAATGAGCACCAATGGAAGTCTCTCTCTCTCTCTCTCTCTCTCTCTCTCTCTCTCTCTCTCTCTCTCTCTCTTCGGGGTAAGTGTTTCTAATACATAAGAGAGCAGCAGAATACATAAGGCATTTACTTCTGTCGTGCACATGGAAAAGGGGACTTTGGTTGACAAAAAAAAAATGAGAGAGCTTTTCCACAAACCATCAAAGTACGAAAATTTTCTGTTGTCCATGTACCTACAACTAAAGAGCACCATTTACTTTGCCATAAGCACGTAGCACTTTAAGTTATAATTACCATAAAAATAAGAACATATTCTCCACGTTTAAATACTTTTTATTTTGAAAAAAAAAAAAAATTATCCACGTTTAAACTTCCAAATCCCCAAAATGCATGTTCAACCAGTCGTCACATTCAAAAGATATTATAGACCAAGAACACCACAGTTACCATTTCATAAATGTTTTTTTTTTTTTCCTGAGTGTACATCTCATAAATGTTTATTGTTCAATCACAATAGCTGCGATCTGCAGAAATTGGAAACTCATGAACCTATAATGCCCAGAGAGTTCCCAGTTCCCACTTATATACAGACTCCAAGTCCCAGAAGAAGTAAACATTCACAATAAATAAAAAAAAAAAAAAAAAAAAAAACCCCAATTGAGAGAATCCTGGACCACAGAACCACCAAAAGGAAAAGAAATCACGAAGTCTCACGGGATATAAAAAATCCAGGCAGGAAAAGTTAACGACCGAGCAAAGACGGGGATATTTTAGCAATCAATTCAAATCAAGGAACACAAAGCTAGAACTAAATTGAGATAAATAAATACGGTCTTCGATTACAAAAGCAACGCAAAATTTAACCTTGCAAGTCTAAGCCAATTTGAGCTTATCATCATTCACCACAGAGAAGACGATACCGAAAACCTATTTCTCTTTCATTTTCATTCCCTTCTTCCAAGGAACCAAAGAGAGTAGAAAACATGAAAAGAAAATGGAAACTTACGCGTTGAGGAAATCGGCATGAGAAACGAGCGAATTCCAGCCGAGAGATGAATACAAATCGACAAAATCTCTCAAGTTTTCGTCCTGAATCGAACTCCACACGAACATCACCACAATCCCCTTCAACTTCCCCTTCTCCTTCTCCTCTTCCTCCTCCATCTTCCTCCCCCAATACACACTACCACCAGCCATCATTGCTAGGTTTCCCCTCCCTTCTCCTCCTCCACCTAGCTAAATCTTTTTCTTGTAAACTCAGATAGGTCGAATCTCGTATTGAGCGACTCGAACGAGTTCGGGGACTTGTGGTCACTTGAGTTTGGTGTGTGGTGGGGTTGTTGTCCGGACCTTCTGTAGTGGTGGTGGCAATGAGATCTGTGGAAGTTGCCACGTCAGATCCTACGCACCGCGCGCATCTTAGGTTCTTCAGGATAACCCTGCGCTAGCTGAACTAGGAGGAATCGGTAAACGACGTCGGATATTCGATTCTTCGCGTGAACTAAAGGCAATTGACCTTTTAAAAAAGTAAAAATTGCACTCAACCATTTGTAATTTACATTTAAAAGGAAAATTAGACCAAATCATTTAAATTTAAATGATATGGAATCATATGCTAATAATAATTTTTAATTTAAATTTTTTAAAAATTAATAATTTAAGTTTAAAAAATTATTATACTCGAAACTAAAATATTATAAAATATTCCTTATTTTAAATAAAAACATACATAGACTTTTATAAAATTTATCTAGAAATATTAAGATTATATATTATAATAAAATTAATTAAAAATAAATTTAAGTCAATGCAAATTCGCATATGTAACCTCTGGCGCTTCTCTTTCTCACCCAAGTTAAATTTGATAGGTTAGGAGAGTGTTTTACGGAGAAATGAGAGAAATTCGGTATCGTTTCGATTTTTAGCATGACGGCACAGTCGAGCTCCGCCGTTTGCTCTCTCTAAAGTTACAATTTTTTTTGAATAATTTTGCATCAAAGATAGTTTAAATGTTGTTGAAAAAAAAATAATAAGAGTGACACGTTGATTAAGTTATGTGAAAAATTATAACTATGATTTTGAACAAAAAACGTGTACAAGACTTTTATAAAAATTTATCTTAAAGTATTAAGGTTATGTATTATGACGAAATCAATTAATAATAAAATTTAAATCAAATCAAATTCGTACATGTAAAGTGGCATATCGATTAAATTGCGTAAAAAAATTATGATTTTAATTTTAAGATGGAATTTTTTTTAGGATAAATTTTTTGAAAATTTATTGGGGTCTATAAATTAAATAAAATAGTAATTATAGAAAAAATAGCTTCTTATAATTTGATAAAACTAATGGGGCAACAATTTAGTGACTCCCATGATTTAAAAACTTAGTGAAGTATATAGAACAACCATGATATATATATATATATATATATATTTATTCTTACCATAAGTAAGAATTGGATCTCAAACCTCTACTTATATTGAGATAAAAATGTTTAGATAATTTTATTAATCATGGATTAAATAGGAATTAAATTAATATATATATATATATTACATATTGTCACATCAACATTAAAAATGTTTTTATGTTGTTTATATTATTTTATATATATATATAAATATAAACATAATTAAAAATAAAAATAAAAATAAAAATGTAATATTTTAAAATCCAAATGGTAATAATTATCCATTATTTTTGTACACGAAACATTCTAACCCCACACCCTCTCACTCTGCAATTAAAACGAGGCAGCAGCAGATCCGAAGCAGACAACCATTCTACCATTCCACGTGCACCCATCTCCATTCTCTCTACACACACTCTTTTACGTATTAAATTCAGAGCTTTGATTTCATTGGAGGCAGTCGCAAAAAAAAGCAAAAGGGTTTTGTATAATTTTTTTCCCACGTGGGGTAACCATAAACCCTAATTTACATGCACCTGTCCCCTTTATTTCCGACAATACCCTTCTGCCACATTTCCCTCCTCCTCCCACACCATACCAACCTCTGATCATACACATACAGGTTCTACAATACATTAAATACAGAGCCTTCTATAGCATGCAGAAGAAGAAAATTAAGGACAAAGTCATATGGGTTAGAGGCTAGAGTTATCTGAATTGCAGAATGTGTGTGCTGGGATTTACACCATCTACTTCCTGTTGTGGTTCTAATCATAATAAAGTTCTAGTTATCTTTGTTTGGTGTGTGTTTACTTTTGAGCAGTTGGGAGAAATGTGAAAATGGCTTCTAAGATCATGTGCAAATATGGGTGTGCT